GAGGGGGAGGCCAGAGAAATCCCCCAGCATTCCTCTAGGTCAATGCTGGGAATTGTGGAACTTTCTTGTCCAAACGCGCCTAGGATTGCGCTGTAAATAGGGTTGTCTGGAAACGAGTTGGAACGGTTTGCTCCCTAAAGAGCAAGGCCGGTGGTCAACGCGCGAATCTCGCCTCTTCGCTCCGCCTTTAGTCCTCTTTCCCAGCTGCCTGCCACCTTCGGACTTGACTTAATTTTCCACGAAAGCCAGCTCTAAACGGAATTCAAGGAAGCCTCGCTTTCGAGGGAAAGGAGAAGGCGCAGGCCGAGGTTATGTAAGGGAAACGCGTTCACATGTTACCGCGCCACCCGTTTCTTCGTCTGCGTGCTAGACGCTGCCTACCCGGCTGAAGTGACCCACGCAGCGCGGCCCTTGAGCCAAAGAGGGGTGGGAGCGAACGACGATCTATCTCTCCTCCCCAGTAAGCACGAACTCGGGGAGACGTGGGGACCCCCAGGTTTGGCACACTGCATGCGTGTGTATTGAACTCAATGAGACTTACTTCTGGTCGAGAGAAGGTCGTGCAGTCCGGTGCCTTCCGATGTCCCCATTTGCCCGGGACAGGGCGCAAACCTGCATCAAAATACGCACGGGGTCAGACTGCCTCGAGCTTTAGGGCGCCCTTTTTTCTGTAGGAGAGCATCCTACCAACGGATCTGTCTTCCCTCCAGTCAGGACCCCATAAGATCGATGGGATTTACCTCCAAGAGATGTAAGCGCGAGACACGGTTGCTGGAAGGTGCGTAGGTTTTCGGCTTGTCTTGGAGCGTTTGAAATCAGGGAGGGCTGCCTTCCGAGCAATAAATACCTCCATTCCTTGGACAAGAACCTCCCCCCCACAACCCGTGTGGCTTAGTATCTCGGCAGGTGTTGAAGACTGGGTTCTATTGTTAGTGTCTTCCCCCCACGCCATGCCACGCCACGCACGTTTTTTTTTATTCCCGGGCTACTAAAGGAAGCGATCCAATGCGCAAAGGAGCGTGGTATAAATTGTCATTGCTATGCATGGCAAAGGTTTTCAGAGCCAAGCCTGAAGCAAGAAGATTTTATTGGGAAGCGTGCCTGTGTGGGGGTGGGGGTCATTTCTGGGTCCAGAAGGATCGACCCCCCAAAAACAATCCCAAAAGGATTTTTCCGTCCTGGCCTCCCTCCAGCGGACCCTAATACACCTCCGTGCTCCAAGGCCTCTGAGATTTCTTCTACAAGCAAGAAAGCACCATTTTTAAATGGCTTCGATGATTAATAGGTGCCCAGAAGGACGGAGAATTCATCGTGGGGAGGGGGAACCATGATTCCCCATAGAGTCTGGGGAATTATGGGGTGCGGGCGGGGTGAAGGAGACAGCGTATTCCTCCGAATAGTCGTTCCACCACTAGCTACCTCCGATCTAGAGCATCTCCAGCCTCGAACTCTTCTGGTCCAGTCGCTTCCTCGTTTGGCAGCCTCCCCATCACAGCCTTGCGCTCTCACAAACACCCCCTATTCTTGAGCTTTCCTTCGCAATTTCACACGAGATAATTGTGCCTAAATCCGGAATGGTTTACACCGTGTGGAAGGCGGGGACTGGAGCGAGGATTTCTGCAGAAGCAGCATTGCTAAGGAAAGCGAGAGGGGAGTTGATACGGACTTCGATTTCTGGAACCGAAGCAGCTCTTAATTGCGTTTATGTTTTCAGCTTGATCTTAGCATTAAATAATTACACGTCCCCCCCGCCCCCGCCCCTTTCTACAAAGCAATCAACGGTGGAAGATGAAAAATTTAGACTGTATATCTAAATAAGCGGAGAAAGAAAACTTTTACAAAATTAGTTCAGCTTTACGATCTGTATTTTTCAGTGATAGAAGTAGAATTAAAAACTGCCTGGGAGATGGAGAAAAGAAAAGAAAAAGCACTGGTAGAGTGTGTGTGGATGGAAATATATTTTCGTATACTAATCGCAGTAACTTTAAATGCGTCCTTGTTCGCCTCGCATTTGCTTCTTTTCAGAAGCATTTTTGTGAAGTTTGTGATGCCTGCCTCTTCCTATATTCACCTCCCCCCAAAATAGTGTGTGTTTTAAGAAATGTCGGGCTGAGGATCATTTCCAGTCTTGTCTTTAATGAAAAATAATATTTAAAAAAATAACCAGAATTGGCGTGTGTGTTTCAACCAAGATCCGCCCGTGGGATCCTTTGGGAGACGGATTAGACCTCGGATCAGGTAAAAGCACAGGCCATGGGGATGGCAAACGGCTGGTTATACGGCAAACGACATCCGGTTCGTAGCAAGACCTGGTCCTGTTGCTGGGATCCGCACCACGGGTTGCCTTCGGGCACCACCCTCCCTCTAAGCTGCCGGAAATCACGCAAGAAGAACACTCAATGGATTGGATGCAGACGTGCTTCTAACCGACCCGCAGTCGTCGGCGAAATTTAAGTTAGTCCGTGTGATTTCAATGGGTCTACTCTAGGCATAAGTCCAGAATCCATTTGCACAGAAAAGGAAAGCGCCTGCTATTTCTTCCTTCCCCGAATACACCACAACCGCAGCCGTCATAAATTTTCTGAAATTGGAGAGTTTGCCCGGTGTGAGAGAGAGATAGAGAGCAAGAAAGAAAGAGAAAGAGAAAGAGAAAGAGAAAGAGAGAGAGAGAGAGAGAGAGAGAGAGAGAGAGAGAGAGAGAGAGAGAGAGAGAGAGAGAGAGAGGTTTTCGCGAAAGGATTCATGCTTTGGCTGAAACCGCTGTTTAAAAGAGGCTGCGAGGCGTCCATTCCAGCTGGGCCTTTCCGGGCCGATGGGTTTGGCCTTCCCAGGGATTAAGGACCCCCCCCCCCCGCCCGGAGACATGCACAAACAATTGAACGCTTTCCCCAAGGAAGTTATCACTCTTCTGGCAAAGGACGCCCGAGTGGGAAAGAGAAAGCCCTTTGCGGTCCGCGGACTCTCCCCCAACTTGAGCTGGGCTCCGTTGTGCCCGAGCGCAAACTTGGGCGCAAAGCGAAGGGGGGCCCGAACGGGTCCGGCGCGGGCTCACTCCCAACCTGCCTCCTCCAAGAGGGGGAAGCCCCGCCAGTTCAATTCCCCTTCCCGGAATTTCAGAAATGCCCCCCCTCCCCAAATCACCTCGTCTTAAACCGGGGGAAAGGACGGGAACCGTGCCGAGCGCCGCGGTTCAGCGGGATGGGGGGCTGGAGATGCGGCGGACACTAAATTCCGGGCAGGGGAGCGCCTAGTGCCTCCCTCCAAGCCAGGGCGCAAATCCATGAGACGTAACGGATGGGAGCGCAAAGGGGGTCGCCACTGACCCCTGGACCTGCTCTGGCTGAGGCTGACCCGTTATCGAAAAACCCCGCACGTGAGAAGCCTACCTTTGTTCACGTGTACTCGTGAGCTTCCACCCAGCAGCTCCTCTCCGTCTCCCAGCGGTAACGGCAGAGGCCCTTCTGTGTGCCCCAGACAATTCAGGGGGGCTTGGTGTCTCTTGGGAGCGGGGCTTGCTTGGCGCACCAAGGGAAGAGGGGTCCCCGTGGCGGGCCGAGGGGCCGTCGAGGTGCCAACCGCGCGCCGCGCCAGGGCGCACGGTTGGAAGGCCTCCGGGTGTCCCAAGCAGCCGGCGGTTCCCGCAGCCCCGGCTCGGACGCGCCCCCTCCCCAAGGCTCGCAGTCTGCCCGCCACTTTTTCCAGGAGAGAAGCGCAGGTGCCAGGGCCTGGAAGCGAGGCCCTCGGCGCGACCCCTCGCAGCAGGGGCGAGGTACCTACCTACAGCGGGGCGCGAAGCTGGCGGGGCGGCCTCCCCGGAGCGCCTTCTTGGGCTGGGCGGGCATCGGGGCGCCCGGTCTCTGGGCCAGGGCGGGGGCCACCGTCGCCTCCTGTCCGCCCCCACGCCCCCTTCCCGCCAGCGGCTGCCTGGAGACTTCACTCCTGCTTCCGACCCGGTTGCCAATCTGCCCCGCTTCCAAGGCACACGCGCCCACCCTTCCCTCCACTCGCCCGTTCGCCACCGTCCCCCTTCGTTCCTCAGTTTCTCTGTGCAACCAATCTGCGACTCTTTCCTCTCCTTCCCCTCCCTCTCCACCCCCACCCCCACCCCCGCGTCGCGTTTCGAAATCTAACTGTTCCAATAGCAGCCCCCCTTTATCTTTCCACCACAGGCTGGAGTTACCTGGGGAAAGTCTGCGCGTGGTCTGTACCTGACCCTGTCGCTTTTGTCAAGATCAAAAGGGGGGGAGGGAGAGAGAGGGAGAAGGAGAAACAGGAGGGTTGCTCGCCTCCCCCCCCCCCCCCCCCCCTTCTTTCTCCCCCCCCCCTTCTTTATTAAAATCTCTGTTTCTCTCCGCTTCTCTTTCTGGCTCGCCTCCCCTCCGCATTCTTTCTCGTTTCGCTCTTTTCTCGCTCCCTGTTTTGCGCGTACGCGACGGCACTATTTGATATCGAGGAAGCCGCCTCACCGCGGCGCAGCGATATTAGGAACACCAATTGGGAGTTCAAATGTCAGCAAGTTTTTTCCCCCTTTTTGGGAAAAGGAGGGGGGAGGTGGAACTGAGGCGGCCGCCGCCGGGGTGGGTGTGTTCCTCCGCCGCCGTTTTCCGCCGCTTCTAAACGGAGCGACTCCTGACTCGGGACTCTTGGATGGCACTTGGGTGCGCGAGCGCTCCGGGGGAGAGAGCGTCTGCTCGCGGGTGCATGCCGGGCCGGGCAGCCCCCTGCCTCGGGGAGGGCCTCGCCGCCCCCTCCGGCCCGAGAGGGCTCCCGGAGGCGCCGTCCAGCCAGCAGGTGACCCGCCCCGCCGCCCCGCCGCCGGGTCGCGATGCGGTGACCCCCGATGGATGCCCGGCCGGCCTCGGCTCTCGGCTCCGCCGCGGCGCTCGCCTCCTCCGCCGGCCCCCGCCAGCTGCCCCGCGGCCCTGATCCCAGCCACAGCCGGCACTAACCGCCTCCCCGCTTGCCCTCCGCAGCCGGCGCCCCCGCCCCCCCACCCCCCCATGGACGTTGCCGCGGGCCCCGAGTCGCTGGAAAGCTGCTTTAACCGGAGTTCCACCGAGCGCTCCAAGATGCTGGATGGGATTAAGATGGAAGATCTCCCGCTGAGATCGGGGCCCGCGACTCTGGGCGTGCTGCTGGGTGAGTTGGCCTTCCGAGACCCCCGGCCCACCTTCCTCCCTTCCCTCCTTTTCTGCTCTCTTTCTTGCACTTTCCCCCTCCAGCCGAGCGGCCCAAACGGGGACTCTCGCGTGGCCCCGATCCTGGGCGCGCTCGGCTCTGACGCTTCGGTTCCTCGGGAAATGCGGTCAGGGAAACTGACAGCGATCCGAGTCACTAAAGCCCGGAAAACGCTTTCACGCCCAGTCTTGTATAAAAGCGTTGGCTTGCGATAAACCTGGGGGGAAACTTCGCAACGGTTGTTAGTTTAGGCACAATTTGGCTTGCCGAAGCCGTCCCTTTTCTCTTTTTCCACTGGCAAACTTTAAACAAGGTCCGTTTTCGCCGACCACTGGGGCTTTAATTCGCATCTCCGGTGCTGGGTCTCTCTCTCCCCCCTCCCCGCTCCGGTATACCTATACCAGTTTTTAAAGTCTCGATTTCGTTGCGAAGGCTGCACAATGTGGAACTCCTGGCATGGCGGGGCGGCCAGCTTGAAGGAACTGGGCGGGCGGGGAGCTCCCTCGCCTCTTATTCAACCTCCTTTGCCAAGGTCCCCTCTTGAATCTCCTCTGGAAATGGAAAGAGTCGCGTGCAGCTGAGTTTCTTTCACGTCTGAAAGAAAGCCCGTAAAATAGCATCGTGTTTCTGCATTTGTCGCCCTCCAAAGCAGAACACGCGGATCAGACTTACGCGCACTTACACATCCTCCAATATGGCTTAAAAACAGAGAGGCGAAGGGCCATCCTTCGCTTGCCCACCCCCCCCCAAAAAATTCCAGGAACTTTTGATGTAAGTGTATGTCATTGGGGAAGCTTCGGGAAGTTTTGGAAAAGTGTCGTTTTCCATTTTCCCTCGAAAATGCTGGCTATTCTTGCGTTTGCAAACAGTTCCGGGATCAGCCTTGCTGGGGATCGCTCTTGGCCAGACGAACGCTTCAGGAAAGGGGGGGGGGGAATCTCCCTTTAAATTTCAAAACAGCGTGGTTGCAGCATTTATCCCCCCCCCCATACATACACTTTTCGTATCTGTGTGTGTGTTTAGTTGAAATTCTCCTTCGTGCTCCTGCAAAAAGAACGCCGATTATTTCTTTAAGGTGCCTCAAAACCCATCAGCTAATATTTCCGCCTCTCCCCCATTACTCATTATACATTTCTCGAAAGGATGGCACTCAGCATATCGAAGGAGAATCAGTCTTAATTTAAGGTCGCTTAGCTGGGGGGATCTTTAATCGTTTCTCCCTAATGCAGATCGCGAAGACTTGGATTAGATTCCCTTGATAAGTTCCACACACGCAGGCGAAGAATCATTTAAATTACTAGAGAGCCGGCAGATTTCCTTGCGATGGGGAAGCGAACTGGAGGGGAGTTCCGCACTGGCGATCCCCGCAAACAAGCACACGTGCTTCCTCCATTCAAACGAACACCCGTGAACAAATGAGGTGCATGAAGAAAGTGGGGCGCGCTGTTTCGAAATGGATGGGGGTGAGATGCAGCCTTCGTTGCGCCCCCTTCTCTCCGGTTCGTAAAAGCCGGCCGGCCTTTGGAGCTCCGGGAACTGGGGAAATCCATGAGCCCGGCTCCTTCGCCCGCACCTCCTCGCGAGTAACCCGGCTGCACTCGCCGCTGTCTTCCCGAGGAAGCGCCACGCCAAATGCTCCCCCAAAAAATAAGTAAATAACTTATATCACAACAATGGCTCATTGATATCCATGCATGGCTTTTAATAATAATGACCACACGCTATTAATGCGCATTATATTAGTGTTAATAATAGTATAATTATAGCAAAAATAATAGGAACGAGCGAGAGAAGGCTCTGCGAATCCGCAGACGCGGGCCTTCCCCGAGTTTCCTCCGCGAAGCCCTTTGGCTTGTGTGGGCGCTCATTGAATAACGAGGGTTGCGCGGCGTTTCGCCCCTGTGGGTCGTGTGAGTGGGATTCGCCCCTTTCGCTTCACACGGTCTCTCTCTCTCTCCCCCTCCCCCCCCCCCCCCCGCCCCCGGCCCCCTCTTTCCCCCCCCCCCCCCCCCGCAGGCTCGGAGTGTCAGCACCAGGCCGTGTGCGAAGGCTGCCAGCAGCCGATCTCCGACCGCTTCCTGATGCGCGTCAACGAATCCTCGTGGCATGAGGAGTGTCTGCAGTGCGCCGCGTGTCAGCAGGCCCTGACCACCAGCTGCTACCTCAGGGATCGCAAGCTGTACTGCAAGCAAGACTACCAACAGTAAGGACCCTCAGCGCCCTGCTTCCTCCTCCTCCTCCTCCTCCTCCCGCCAGCCCAGCGCTGCCCTCTCCGCCTCTTCCCACGTTCCCTCGGCCCGCAAGGCGCTCCCGCTCTCCCCGCGCGTTGCACCGCCCGGGTCCCCACCGGCTCTGCCCGAGGGGTCCCGTCCCATCCGATCCAAGCGCCCGCGTCGGGTCGTGCCCAGCGGGGGCCGGGGGCGCACGCCCCGCTTTTCAGGGGAGCAGCTCGCGGGCGGCCGTCGAAAGAGCGGCGCGCGCGGCGAGATCAAAGGGCTCGCCGGCCGTTTGATGCTTTCTTGCGTCACTGGAGAAGTTCTCTTGTTGCGTCATAGGGGCGAGGGAGCCCCTGCTTGCGTGGATCTAAGAACGCGGCCGCTCCAGTGGAGCCCGGGCCTTTCTCGGTGAGCTTCGTGGAAGAGCAGAAGGGGTCTTCGTGCTTGGGAAATGGGGAGCGGGGCCATCAAAGTCCAAACCTAGGCCCAGCGCGCTCGTGTGGAGATGAAGCCATCTTTGTTTCAAAATGGTCTGACTCCGGAGCGAAGCCCGTGGCAAAGCGGGAACCCCTTTCTAAGCAGTTCAAGCAAGTTTCCCAAAACGACAAGCTTTCGTGGGTGCAAAATAGACGTTTTGTTTTAATCTTATTCTTCTTCGTCCAAAGCGCGTTTGTGCGTCAAGTTAATACGTGCCCCTTCCTTGTTTGGAACTTGAAGTTTCAATTCAGTTCAGTGAATTTGAATTTCTCCCTGTCCTTGGCGCCTAACTTGGGGGTAAATCCTTCTCAGTTCGACCCGATTGCTTGCAGCTATTTCTTTATGCTGCCATTTCCCAAGAAAATTACTTGCAATAATTCCACCGACTTTCCTGAATTAATATCGCAGCAACCTCTTTTTAAGATTGGGTAAATGTGCTTGTTTGTGCTTTAGAAAGGAATAATATTTGTTTTCCAGTTAGCGACTTTTTGAAATAAAGTGCCTATAAGCAACCGTTGCTCTTAAAAAAAAAATATCTACCAGTGGGAAATTTTATACTGGCAATGAAAAAAAAAAACAACAAAAAACCAGGCAGCATTGCTAAGTTGCTTTATAAATTGCTGATAAGTTGCTGATTTGATTGGCAGAACTGGACTTCGGTGTTTTGGGTTGCTGCTTTGATCCTGAAAAGCTTTGCAGGATAAAATGGAAAGAAAAGTTTTCGACTGTTGGAAAAGGGCTACGGAGAAAATCTATCCAGCAAAACAAACTTTAAGTACTCAGAAGGAATTTGAGGTCAAGGAGGGTGGATTTTATTGCTGGCGAAATGACTGGATCTTATCTGTTTGGATAGTGTGGAAAGAAAACCCTTTCTCCAAAATACAATAAGAATAATAGAACTGGAGCAGATACTCCCTATTTTTCTGTGAGGTTGGGCTCCCCGCGCCTCAGTCCCAGGGAACGCAGTGAAACTGGGAGCTGCAGGTTGCTGGAAGCATGAACTGGGGGCCACTGGAGATGGGCGAACATGGAAAGGGCAAAGAGTTTAGGGGTGAGAAAGGTTTGCGCTGAATTTGAGGCCAGGAGCCCACGTGGGTGTGTGGAGGGAGCGGACCGGGGTGGGGTGGGGTGGGGGTCAGCTCCCTCCCCTTCGTTTATGAGAGCGAGATGCCCAGAGAGAGGTGACGGAACAAAGGCCTGCGTATGGCATCGCTGCTTAAAAACAGAAAAAGCGAGAGAGAGAGAGAGACCTCCTTCATTTAATGGCATCCTCAGAATCCCGGAAAATCGCTGCATTTATTTCCTTCCCATAGCAGCCCCTTTCCGCATCCTTTGCATGGGCACTGAAAGCATCCATCTGCCCCGGAGGGCTGAGAAACGATGCACGCTTACGCGGGAGTAAGTCGGACTGGGGGGAAGGCAGGCTCCCGAGCCGCATCTGCGTCACGGAAGGGACTGAGCGAAGTCGAGCGGAAGGACTGAGTCGGCCCGCAGCCCGTGAAGAGGCTTTGCAGAGCGAGGGCAGGCAGCTCGGCCGGGCCCGGGCCCGGTTGCTTTCAATGAGGCTGCTCCTGCGCGCAGTCGTTAGTATTGCTACTGTTGGAGTGGCGGTAATAATGACGATAAAACCTCCACGCGCTTGGCTCGCTTGGAGCAACTTGCCAAGCGAGCCAAGCCGCCAGCCCCGAGCTGTGGCGGTCGCCCGGGCATCCCTCTCGCACCGCTCGCCACCGGCTCCGGCTGCCCTGCCAGCCCCACAGCAGGCCCAGGTCGGGCGGCGCCCTGCAGCCGACGAGCAGAGCCGCGGCACTCCCCTCTGCACTGGCTGCCGAAGTCCAGGGGAGCGGGGGCCGCCCCAAACGGCGGGGCGGCTGTCCTGAGCCCCCTCTCGACGCCCAGCCCGAGCCCTGCGCCTTCTCTCTCTCCCCGTTTTTCTCCCCCTCCATCCTGCCCTGCGCTTTCCTTTGATTATCTCATTGTTTTCCTTTCTCCGTCTCTCCTCCTTCCTTCCTTCCTTCCTTCCTTCCTTCCTTCCTTCCTTCCTTCCTTCCTCGCTCTCCTTTTCTCCTCTACTTCCTCGGATTCCCCATTTTTGCTCCCTCTCCCTCCCCACCCCCCACGCTTGCTTTGCTCCTCATCTCCCGGGCAAACCTCCCTTGCCCCACGCTGCCCCACGCACTCCAAGGTGGGGCCGCAGCTCCCCCGTGGCCCACTGGGGCCCTGGGGGCTGCGCAGCTGTGCTCTCTTGCAGCCAAATGGGGGCCTCCCTCCCTGGCTACCTGGACGATCCCACAGGGGTGGGGGCCTCTTCTAAGTCCCCCCAAAGCCTGCCATGGAGCAGGGCTTCCTTTCCCCCATAGGGGAGACGAGGGTGCCCCGGGCAGCTACTGGGGTACCTCCTTGCTTCAGTGTGGCTCTCCGGATCCTGGAGGGAGGCCCAGGTGGCTTCCTTGCAAGGAGGCACCTTGGGGCTCCGGCGTAGGGCAGGCCAGGGAACCGATCCGACGGCGGCCCTGTGGACAGTGACGCGACTCCGCCAAGGGTGAACCAGCCGAAGGCCTTCGAGCAAGACGAGGCAGACCGACTGAGATGACTGGGGTTCCAGTGGGATGGAGGTTGGATCCTTCTGCAAGGGTTGCAAAGAGATCTTCAGGAGACCCGGCGAGGTCGGCAAGTAGGCTGGGGAGGGGGCAAGGCAGACCCTCCCTGCTTGTCCCAGATCTGTGTTGGCCACAGCGTGGCTGAAAAGGGCATTGTGGGTAACCCACCTCCTCGACACCAGGGAAGGCCACCTGGATCTGGGCTGAGATGAGTTTCCGGGGCCCCCCTTCCCAAAGGCCGGCTGCTGCATCTGTCCCGGGCAGCCTGCAGTCCAGCTCCCCTGCCTTGGTGCCCCGTTGGCTGCGGATTTGGGGAGCGAGAGACGGAGGGTATATCTTGCAGCGCCAGGGGGTTGCATTGCATATGGGGTGGAGTGGAGAAAGGCAGCGTGAGCAGTGTGAGGGGGCAGTGGCGGAGGTGGCGGGCCGGCCCAAGGGAATAGTGGCGGTTTTACTCCTGAGGAGGCAGTAAGTGGATGCATCCCCTTCCACCCTGTTTGGGGTCAGTCACCTTCCCTGTGCGGGAACCCCCTTTGTACAACTGGAAAAGCCATGCCCAGAGTATACCTCCCATTGGAGCGGGCCCTTTCCCTTTGGAAAGACACAGTTCTCGAAAGCGCTGTCACAGAGAACCAGAGAGTACTTTCCTCCGCAGAGAAAAAGCCAGGAAAACACAAAGTTTGCAGTCAACTCAGCCAGAAAGCAATCTAATGCCCCATCCAGCCTATGCGCTTTACCAAACAATGGGGCTTCCAGACATGGGCATTCATTGTGCAATCATGCTGCCCCATTCACAGAATTTCACCAAGGGTCCAAATACTTCCAGTGGTATCCCTTGTCCCCCCGCCCCCCCCCCGCCCATTTGTTTTGCTCCTTGCTCTTCCCAGGAAAGTTACTTTAAAGAGGGAAAGAGGGAAGTTTAGCACAATGCTTTTCATTGAACCCCCAGACCAAAACACATGCAAAGCAACCTAAATTAAAACCAACTTTGACTTCAAGCTTGACTTTCCTATGGGGAAGAGGTGCTGAAGTTTTCAAGCAAACTTATGCTTATGCTTAAGATTCTAGTTCTCATGGTGGTAAAGGGGTGTTGGGAAAAACACTCTCAAAATAGAGACCTATGGATTTCTAAATATATAGAACATCTGGAGCCTTGATGTTCCGAGCTGGGGTCTCTCCCCCAACTTCAGGATCATGGCAAAGTAACTGCCCACACACCTGTCCATTAGAGTCTGCGTGGTTTTGATAGGCAAAGAACAAAGAAAGATAACATGGGATGCCTGGATCAAACCAATTGGATGCACTTTTTATGACGAGACAGCGATTATGTCTATTTGCATGTGTGTGTACACACATTTGCACACTTGTCTATTTGAAGGTGGGGGTGACTCAGGGTGCAGTCCTACCCACTTGGTTTGGATTAAGTCCCACTGAACTCATGGGGGCTTACTTCTGAGTAGGCTGTTAGCACACGCCTCCGGCGCAGACTGGATCATAAATCCCTTTGTGGTGTGTCTTTCAAGAGCAACTCTGCAGCTTTTGCAGGCAGGGAGGCAGGCAGAAGTTTGTATGTGACTCGGGTTGGGTGGGGGTGAAGTCCAAAGTGCTCCTCGTATGGATCTTGACTTAAAAAAAAAAATCTCACAAGATCTGCACAGAAGCCACGTTGGAAGGGCCTTTTTTAGAAAGAAAGAAAGAAAGAAAGAAAGAAAGAAAGAAAGAAAGAAAGAAAGAACAAGCAGAAATCATTTGCATTTTTAGCATTCATGCATTGCAGATTTAGGTGGTTATACTGACTGGGGCAGGCTGGAAGATGTAGGCCTTTTCTGTCTAAACTTGCACGGAATCATGCAAATATTTACTTTATAGTAACAGTACTCATAATGCTCTGCAGAATTGGCAAGGTGTCA